GTACATGTAAGAAAGATACTTTAGATAGTATTTAATCTACTATCTTAATATATATGAGTTTTATTTAGTTGTGGTAGAGCTGTACACGTAAAGAGGTGCGCAAAGTTGGTGGGGTGGCCCGCTCGCTTGTATGGCCCGCTCGCTTGTAAAACACGTTATAATAACTAGAACTACATATAAGAAACCCGAGAATCTCCCTAAGCTCCTCTATAGAAACCTTATCCCTAGAGGCTAACTCTACGCTTGCCCAACACGCCGCCTACATCTTCGTCAAGCGCAGTAAGACACCAACCTGGGCTACGTCAAGGCTCTTGCCCCTAATAGGGCCGCCTGCCTGAGAATAAAGTGAGTCATCAAAGGCAATAGACTGTTGCTCCTTAGCCACGAAATCCTGTAAGCCTTTAGCTAAGGCAAAATCGCGAGCTTGCGGCCCCATTCCCTCCCAGCCTTTGATGATGCGACTTGTATACGCCTCTGCAGTACGGCCCATACAGTTGTATCGTCTCGGGATAGGACCCTCCTTAGCTGTTGCCACCAACTGATCTATGTTCATGGCCCTGAGCTCAGCGTGGGTCAGGGAGTGTCGACCATCGGGCAGACCAAAGTCGTCGCCCTTGCCAATCGGTTCAATCTTGCTAACGGAGAAGCCAGCATCCTCAGCAGCCTCCCTCGCCTGAGCTGCTGCAACCGTCCACAGTCGATTAGGCGCGGTTTGGTAGGTGAGCTCAATCACTTTGCGCGGCAGGTCGGTAGCACTTGCTCCTGGTATCGGAACACGGGGGCCGTCTCGCATGAGCAGGGTATAGATGGTTGCTCCTGCTGTCTCTGTGTAAGGGCCGTTGCGAAATTGTACAGGGAGAGCGGCGTTAGCAGGCTGCAGCGATGAATTCGTGAAGCGGGCCGACATGTTGAGGACAAGGCGGCCAGAGGGAGAGAGCAGCTGCCGGAGAGTGACAAGGGCCTGGCGACGCTGGGAGGGAGCCAGCGTTGTAAAGAGGTGAACGGCGACAATGCAGTCAAACTGCTGAGGTGCGCCAGGCACCGCTCGCACTGTGTTGGCAAAGTTGGAGCTGGTAATATTGGCGCACAAGCAATGGACCTGGGTGGCAGGCGTGCCACTTGGACTGGCGGCAAGTCCCTGCTGCTGAAGCATCCACGGAATATCAGTCGAGACAAAGCCCTGCACGGCGTCTACTGCGACACAAAAGCCGCTGCCTACTGTCCTCTTTGCCCGGGCGATGAGGCGGCCTCCGCCTGCTCCAACCTCCAGTACGCTCTCACCTGCGCTGAGATTCGCAAGGGCCAGCGCCTTGTCAGTGTCAGGATATTGCGCATGGCAGACGTAGTCGTACACGCCAATAAGGGGGGTATAGGCCTGGTTGATCTCGGCGTCGGTGGCGAAGTAGACCATGATGGAGATGACGTGGATGACTTGGGGTAGGTGGGCTGGATCAGTTAGCGGATGTGATAGAAGTGATATAGATCGTGTGGCTGCCGCTGCTTACGTTGTAGTGGCTGTAGTTTCTGCTGCTGCCGCTGGTATTGATGGACGATAGAGTATTGCAGTGTTGGTGTTGAGAAGTTGGAGCGGGCCAGCCAGAATCGAGTTAATATACGCAAAGCTCGGAAGCTAGAAGCGCCAGCAGTGAAGGCAGCGGCTCTAGGCAGCAGGTTCGAGAAGATTCACATGTTTAGACCTCTTCACAGAGATCACGTTATTGAGCGCTCCCGAGCTAATACCATGCTGCAATGTTGTGGCATGGAAGCACCGCTCCTTCACCTCTCCATCTATCGCGCGCAAACCGGCCCCATGACGCCTGTGAATATAGACCCGGCCGTGCTTTTGGCCAATAGCTAGCTATAGCGTTGCGATTCTATCAAGTTTGTCGTGTCCTCATGGCTCCCATCAGGCCTTCACGTGTGGGTGTCATGGAACGTGAAGCCGATATCAGGCTCGAGCATCGCGATCTCGTCAGGCCTGGCCTTCACTGCTCCGCTCTTCACTGCTCCGCTCTTCACTGCTCCGCTCTTCAAGTGCCGTCACTTTCACTATAGATGGCTAGCGCCGTCTCTGACTACTTATTGCCTCAATCCTCCATCATTTTGCTCTCGATTCCAAGCTACCCCATTCCACCAACATGATGTACCTCACCAATCAGTTTGGAGACATCCGCAGCGACATGGTCACAGGGATCCACTGGGAGAAGGCTCGCGACGTCTGCCTCAGCGTAAGTACTACGCGCTTCTGCTCAGCCTCTTTACTAACACAATGCTTAGGATGCCATTGAAAAGCCCACGCTCTCGGAACTCCGCTCGCTGCCTAGCCTCCCCAACGTCACTGTCGATGAAGACTACGAGGAATACCGCGGCCAATTCTTCTTTGCCAATCCAGCACGCACCCTACAGATTGTCTACAATACAAACAACGGCATGATTGTTGGCACGCTCGCAAATGGCGACGAAGTCTGGGCGCACGTTTTCGTGCCGTTTGGTGACCGGGTTGTCTGCGACCGTGCACATCGCGCATTTGTGCTTTTCCAAGCCAAAAACCGCCAAGGCGCTCTTGTTCGTTGCCTATCAAGTCTGGAGGAGATAGAGTGGGACGGGTACATTGCGGGCGAATGCGAGGGCATTATTGCACGCTGGTGCTTTGTGTATGACGCTCTGGTTGCCGAGCTCAAGGCAGACGTTGAGTGAGGGCTTGAGGGATGTGGGTGCGACGGCAGCACATTGGAAACACTTTATGGCTAGTAGTTGTGAGAATAGATCTCTACTCTTGGTCTTTTATTTTCTTCTTTGTTCGTGATGTGCTGCGTGACCTAACCCTAAGCTTTTAAAGAAAGGGACTCCTCCTGTACGTGCGCACAGATTAGATTTGTTAGGGAAACAAATAAAGGAACTCCTCTAACCCTACCCTACCCCAAGTTTGGTCCACATATGTCGCTTTTTATGTGGTAGGATATCGGAACTCCATCGTATGCCAAGATGAGATCAACCAGGGCATCAGCCATAGAGAAGCCAGTACCCGAGAGCAGCGTTTCGTTCCCAAACAATCGCGGAGCCAATGATCAAGCGACTACCAACTATTAGCCACCCCATCTTTGAACATCTCTCTCTTATAGAGCAAGATCTGAAGCAGTTTCCTGTACTAGCTACCTATAAGGCTTCTCAGATCATATTAGATATTGTTCTTAACTTCTCTTAAGAGGTCCGCAGAGAGATGGAAGCTAAGTTTCCTTATAAAGAATGGAGGAATAAGTGGAAGGCTCTCCAGAAGACTTTCTTTAGCAACTTAGAAAGTATGGAGCCAGCTGTGAAGCTTCGCGGAGCTGACGATGAATCTGTGTATCTTGACGTATATGCAGCACTCCCTGGCGCCTCTGCGCAGGTGCCTATATAGCGATCTGCACTACGTCTAAGCCATTCTTTACGCACTACAAATCGCTATATCGCGAGGTAAAACAAACTTATATAGCGGAGTGAAAAGGCTTAGCGATAAGAAGGCTTCGCAGTGAAAGGGCTTCCCACGTGAATAAGCAATAAGGAGTACGGGCAACCTACTTTTCCGAGACTCGGATACCTGCATGACTGCTCTATCGCTGGTGGATACTCGACATGCTAGACCCATCTTGGACGCAACAGCGCAGAAGGAATGCTGTTGCTCTCGCTGTACTCGAGCGGTGTTGTCTTCTTAACAAGTAGATGACAACCTACTCGCGCAATAACTAATCAAGACCGTCCATTACAGCAGATTGCTGCAAATTACAGGAAAAAGGTGCTATTGGCAGAGTATTACGGTGTAGCGTCCTACCCTCGGCGCTGACTAATGCGCACAGGTTCTGACTTGCGAGCGCGCGGTCCCCCAGGTCAGGCAACGTCGTGCAATCTATGCGAGCTATAGAAAATATACGAAAAATGGTAGTATATACACATAAATAGTAGGGAATTGTATTATAGAGTTATAACCTTTATACTACCGTCCTGTATATGCCAGCGTATATTGGTCCATGGGCTGCTCACTGCAATTATTATTATTATTCCATTATAGTCCTGTATCAGCCGTTGGCTATGTAAGACTTTGGCCAAAGGCCGTTCTATCTGACTAGTTACAATTTGGTACGTTGTGCTGTATTGCGTGACTATGGTGCTTCGG